CCCCCCACCCACCACCACCCACCCCCTTCTCTCTATCTCCCCCTTTAATGCTACCAATCCTACAATCACGTCTAATATCACTGAAAAACTGCTGTGCTATGAAATGAGGAATGAGATGACGCTTAGAACCCCCTCACTTCCCTTCTTTTCCTCGCCTCTCTTGCGGTCTTTCGTTATTGTTGTTTTTGTTTCAAAGCCAATCGACATGAAAGGAGGAAAAAAGTAAAATACATATATTTTATATACATTTTTACATTTTTAAATATATGTATATATACGCAGCAAAAGAAGAAAGGGAAAAAAAAAGGATTGACAAAAAGGCAGCCCCTCTCTCTCTCTCTCTCTCTCTGTGTGTGTGTGAGAGAGAGAGAGAGAGCGATTTTTGGATGCATGTACCCCACAGCCCACTTCCACACACCCAACTGTGCCGTGTCTTTGTCTGCTCCCCATGACTTCATCCCCATTCTCGCCCCTCGTTTGCGGGGGCGTACATTACGTGTGTTTGCCTCCTCCTTCATGCCTCCTTCTCGGTAACGCCGCCCTTCTCCTGCCATTTATTTATCCCGCGTGAAAGTTCCATTGACTGGCATAAGTGAAACCGCTCCGTCAGATCCACGCACGCTGGGTCCCAAAAGCCGCGTTCCTCGATACACGCCTGTGCCTCTGCACGCATCCCAACACACTTCTCAACTTCCGTCTGCTCCCGCAGCTTCTCCTTAAATTTCTCCGGCACCTCCTCCCACGGCATCTGCCGCCCATTGCCAATGGTGTACGGTGTGCCGCCCCCCTTCACAACAACCATCTCCCTCCTCTATATATATATATGTCTGTCTGTCTGTCTGTTGGTCCTCTCGGATGCATTTCAATGCAAGACGCCAAAAAAAGGCAAAATAAATAAATATATAAGAAAAAAAGAAGAAGAAGAAGAAGAAAAAAGAAAAAAAGGCAGCATGACAACATCGCAGCCCCGTATGTACATTTCGTGTCTGTCTGTGTGTGTGTGTTTGTTTGTTTGGTTTCGGGGATTAGAGGGGGGGAAAAAAAAATAAAAATAAATAAATAAAATAAAATAAAATAATAAAAAGAAATAAAAAAATAAAAAATTTCATTTCTCTCTTTCCCAATTTCATTGCCTTTCATTTCACTCACGCATGACTTCTGTTTCTTTCCCCCCCCCCACTCACCCACCACCACCACCAAAAAAAAAAAAAAAATCCTTTTTTTTTTTCATTATTATTTTATTATATTTTCTGTTTCCCTCCCTCTCCCCCTCCCTCTCTCTCTCCCTTCCCTCCATATATATATATATATAGAGAGAGGGAGGGGGAGAGGGGGAGGTGCCTCCTCCTCGTGCTGGATCCTTCACACACACAAATAGTTAAATACATACATGTCAGTCGCTGCGGTGGCAAACTGCAGCATTAATTACAAGCGATTGAAAGGAAAAGGAAAAAAGAAAAAAGAAAGAAATCAATTTGTTGATACAACAAAAAGGCATGCATCCACACACACACACACAAACAAACAAACAAAGAGAGAGAGAGACAGAGAAAAGATAAAGATATATATACCAGGAAGACAGGTACCGTGCATGTACACCAACTGTCGCCACTCGTTGTCTCTCTCGTGAGCGATCATTTGCGCGCCTCAGCGAAAGAAAACAAAGGGCGTTTTCCGCACCATTTTGCGTGCAGGACGACGTCCATCAGCGGGTGCATGCATGCGTCTGTTGTGTGTGTATTTGTGTGTGTGTGTGTGTTTACATGCATGCATGCATGCATATTTATAAAAATATCGGCACACTCATTTGGGACCATCAACATACAAATACAAAGATATATATATATAGATATAGATAGATAGACGTACATTAGATGCATGTATGTGTGTATGTATGAAAGAACCGAAAAGAATTACCAAAAAAAAAAAAGAAAAAAAAAGGAGACATCTACCCGTGCACACATTGGCACCGGCATGTCTCTTCGTTTCCGTCATCGTCATCCCCCACTCCCCACCCTTCAAAAATACACGCGCAGACGTCCCTTTTGTTTTTTGTTTTTTATTTTGTTTTTATTTTTCATTTCAACAACAGACATGCGGCGAAACAAAAAAAAAAAGAAAAGAAAATCCCTGGAAATGTTCCTGTGGACAGTCTTCCCTTCTATTCTCTTGCCTTGCCTTCCTGTCATGTGCATTGCTGATCATTCCCTGCTTTATTTCTTTCTTATTCCCTCGTGTTTCATTTACACCTTTCCTCTTGTTTTTTTTTCTTTTCTTTTTTTTTCTTTTTTGTGCGTGCGTGCGTGTGTTCTTCCCTCATGCTGCCCGGAACGCCAATATTGTGCATATATGTATATATATATTGTATATACAATATGTGACTGTATGCATGCATGCATGTATTTGATTATGACGATCTTTTCCATACGGACTACGGCCAGATTTCTCCTCCTCCTCCTCCTCCTCCCTCTCGCCTCTCCCATACATACACATGCATTAAATACAGTCACATACATACATTATATATATATATATATATATAATTTATTTGTCGCTGTCTTTACGCAAGTTTTGCTTCTGCTGCGGCGCTCACGATGCGAACTCTCTTGTCCCTCCACATTGTAATGTAGCAGACGGCGGCCGCCAGTGTCATGCAGGCGCTCATGAAAACACAAACGTAGGTATAATTGCCGTAGTGACGCTGTTGTAGTTCGGCTTGAATAGGCGGTGCGGAAAAGCCTCCGACGACGCCGGCGAGAAAGACGGCGCCCATGTAGAAACCGAGATTTGGTCCATACAATCGCTCCGCAATAAGCGCTGGCATGACGGCAAACATCCCTGCCATGCAGAAACCAATCACGCAAAGAAGGAGGGCAAAGGCAACGTAACTGCGGCAAAAACCCAAAAAGGCACAAAAAATACCCCCAATTGTGGCGCATAAGACGTACGCAAACTCATTCGTGGTACCTGTCGCAAGCCAGCCAACGAGAATAGAGCCAACGATTTGAAACACGCCGTAAAAAGTAAAAAGAGTGGATGCAATGTCCGTTGGAATTGGCGATATGTCTGCGTACACGGTACCGGCCTTTCCCATAGACGACACATAGGGCACAGCCACGTAAATCAATGAGTAGAAGGCCCAGCTGAAGATTAACCAGCAGAAAAAGTTTCCCAAAAAGGCCCGCGAGAACATACTTAAAAAGAGCTCCCATGGATTCAACTTGTGTGTGTGCAGGCCGCGTTGCGCGGGTGTCGTTTCACCGTTGCTGTTATTGTTGTTTCTGTTTTCCTCTTCTGTGTGGGTTTGTTCCTCCTCGCCCTGCTCCTGCCGTTCTTGTCCCTCGTCGTATTCACTGGGCCCTTCTCCCCCCTTCTTGGGCGGGGCTCGCCTCGCTGAAAGCAACGTTGCCACAACACCAATGGCGCAAAAGGCAGACATGAGTCGGAAGGTTTTGCGCCAGCCGTACGCCACAACCCACTTACCAGCCAAAGAAGGGATGATTGCACTTCCGACACCACCGCCGGAGAAGTTGATGCCCATGGCAAGTCCCTGGTAGCGATTGAACCACGAGCTCGTGGCGGCGGCACCCGGCGACAACATGCATGCGGACGAGATGGATGCCAACAGGCAGTACGAGAATGTCACGGCGGTGACGTTATGGGCGAAGGTGGAGCTAAGCCAGAGGCCAGCAAAGAGCATCAACGTGGAGACTGCCATCATAAGGCGCGGCGGTACCCGGTCAACGAGAAACCCGCACAGCACACCGAATGCCGGTGAGAGGCCCAATGAGACGGAGTTGCCAAGGCTGATGGTCGTGACAGACGGGTAGCCAAGCGAGGGGTCTTTATGCATGTCGTCAGAGAAGATGGAGTAACTGTTGTCGATGCCGTACGACATCAGCTGCATGAGCAGACCTGACAACGCCACGAGAAACCCAAGCGGATGATCCACCGGCTTCCGTGTAAAACATGGCAACATATTTTTTCCCTTTTTTTTCCCTTTTTTTTTTTCTTTTTCCTTTTCTTCTTTATATTTTCCGCCTCTTCCTCTTGTGTAAAGGCGCCCTGGTTTGGTGTTGGTTATTTTGTTGGGGTTTGTTTGTTTGTTTTTTTATTTCCTTTTTTTTTTTTATTTGAGAACTTTTCGGTTACGTGAGTAAAAAAAAAAAAAAAAAAAAGAAAAGAAAAAAAAAAAAGGGGGGGGGGAGGAGGAGAAGAACACGTGTCTTTTAGACAAAATGGATGGGTGGATGGACATTTTTACCTGCCGCCCAGCTCGGTTTGAAGTGCCGCAACGGACACTGACAGAGACTGAGGGAGAAAGAAGGAGAAATACTAAAAACTCGCATATTGTCCCATACACGATTCATGTGCACATGCCAATACGCATGGGAAGAGGGGGGGGAAAAAGGGAAAAGGGAAAAGAAAAAAAAAAAAAAAAAAGTCTTATTGCTCCACTCATGTTCACTTGTCTCTTCCTCTCTTCCTCTCTGACATGTGTTCACTTCGTGATGCTCCAGATGAGTGGTTCATTCCGGCAAAAAGGGCATGTCCCCAGCAGCTGCGCATCGCCAACACACAACACATTGCCGCAGCACCACAATTCCACAAAACAGCCTTCCATCGGCTGCTCTAAACAAACGCCGCAGACTTCTTCATCGTCGCCGTACGGTGTCGACTGGCGCCCGGCGGCTGCTACGAGACGTGCGGTCGAGTTTTTGTGCTCCGCCTGCTCCCCATGCACACTGTTCATCGGCGCAAACACAATCGGCCCTCCCCCACCTCCTCGCTCACAAATTTAAAGAAAAAAAAAAGGGAAGATCCACGCAGACACAGAAACAAACAATAAACGATGGAAATAATGCGAATATAAATGCTACAAGACGCCCTTCTCACAGCCTAAAAAAGAACAAAAAAAGCAAGAAAGGGGGGGGGGGGGGGGGAAAGGAAAACAAGAGGAAAAAAAAAGAACATCTCGCTGGAAATGAGGGAATTTCATTCCAATTTCCCGCATACATGCATGTGTGCAGGACAGACAAAGAAATAATAAACAACAATTAAGAAAATAATAACAATAATAAAGAGAAAGATGTCTTCTCATAATGATGGAATGTCTGCATCAACATCCCATCCCGTCATTTACTCGAATGCCTCCCCCTCTCTCCCTCGCCTTCGTTGTCACTTTGGCGATTTTCTTCCCTCCATGTCAACTGCTGTTGTTTTTGCTGTTGTCGCTTCTGTTGCAAGTTCCGCTCACGATTTGCGACAATAATATCCTGCCGCTCAGCTCTTGACAGCTTCCTCCGCTCCCCCTTCGCCTCGCCAGGCCTGTCGTCGCCATGCGTGCTCAGGGACGATGAGGTGGTGGTGGCAAAGTAACGCCTCGTGGAGTCCCGCTTCCGCAGCAGTTTGGAGCGGTAATGCATGTAATCCGCGTTGTCTGGAAGGTCGGTGGCGTCCATCAGTGCGCGGAGATCGGGCGCCTGCCGCGTCGCGGCGCAGCTCGCACGGGAGGGTGGCGGAAACGGCACCGGCCGTGTTTTCTCCATCACAATGAGGTGGCGCACAATCTTCAGGGAGACCCGCTGCGGTATGTCGCACACGAGGCGCAGCGACGGGTGCGTTGGCAGCTCATCGTCGGTGTACCGCGTGGTGGTGGTGGTGGTCGGGTACCAGAACACGAGGCGGCCGCCCAGCACAAGCGACTCGGCCGCGAAAAGCATCAAATCCAGCACGATGCTGCTAACCGGATAACACGCCGGGATGTCTGTTCCCTCCTCCATCTCAACCTTCTCTCCTGTCAGGCGTGTCGCCTTCTTGCGTGGCTCACGTATGCCATACGGGGGATCCGTCACGATGGCGTCCAGGAATCCGCGATCACCGCGGTCCGTGGGACCTTTTTCCCTGCCATGCATGTTGCACGGACGCAACGCGGCGTGCCAGTTGGCAAAGTTCATACGCACGCGATCAGGTGGTGTGAGGCCGTAGAGTTTGAAATTCGTCCACATCGACGGTGCCTCTGCCTCCGCTGCAGTGATGCCGGCCCGCTCAAGGGTGTCTTGCGTGTATGACCGCACGGCCACCTCGCGTTGCTGCTGCTGTTGTTTGCTCGCTTTGCAACGCAATGAACCGCCACGCATCACACGCGCGTCGGCGTCAGCGCCAAGTGTGACGGCCCCGTAATGTGCCGCGGCAATAAGAATGCTGCCGGTGCCGCAGAACGGGTCGCACACATAATTTCCACGCCGCACATGCGCCAGATGCACCATCACAAAGGCCGGCTCGGACGGCATCGAAGTTGTGCCAATGTACGGACGTCGTTTAAGATCATACGTCGCAAGAAGATGCTGCCGGTTGGACTCCGACACGAGAGCGCCACAGAATACCCGCAGCACACGGCCGCAGGGCAGCCACGAGGCCAGAGCTCCGGTGGGTGCGTTCTCAATCGCATGTTCCACGACAAATGAGAGGCGGTGCGGGCGCTGCTCCGTCGCCCGTGGACGTGACGCGTCAGGCAAAATCCGCATTGCAACGCTGACACGTGTCGCCAGTGCCGTCTTCTCCTCCAGCGTGTAGTGCCGTCCGATTGTCTCCACCTGCACTGTACAGTCGGCGGGGCGGAGGATGGTGTCGTCTGGCCACGCCATCCCTCGCAGCCACTTTGCTTCGCCAATGCCACCGTCACTCGTACCAGCGATGCACGCCAGTAGGTCCTCTACGGACGCCGCCGCGGCGATGAGGAGGTGCACGGCGCGAAGCAGTACACATCGCCCAGCGAGCTGCCTTGCCACCGCAACAGACGCCGCATCAAAGACGCAAAACGCCGTCTGCGATGAGTCCGCGCGGAGCCATGGCAAACATTCCTGCACATGGATGTCTACTCCCAGAGTGGCTGCGGCGGCACGCAACTCCTCCAAACAGAACGCCGCCAGCGAAGAATTGCAGGCAAACCATCCGAAGAAAAGCATACCTCCCACCCACTCTAACAGGCACACACACACACAAGAAAAAAAAAGAAAATCGTTTTTTTTCCCCCTCCGTGTCCTCTTTCTGCCGCGGCTGCAAGATAAAACCTTTAAAAAAAAAAAAAAAAGGACCAACAAAAAAAAAAAAAGAAAAAAGAAATTTAAAAACCACAGAAGATGCATCCGTTGCGGTTATAGACGTTAGTTAATTACAACCCACACACACACACACACACATACACACACACCATCAGCGGTGTGTATTGCCTGCTTTTATTTTCATTTATTGTTTCCATCTTCTTTCATCCTCTTTACTTCCTTCTGCTGCCAAACAGCACCTAAGCTGGTGTATCACATTGTGTTTCACTTTACATCTACACCACGTGCATATATATATATATATACATGCAAACACGTCCCTCACCCCCATCTCCTGCTATGCACATGTATTCTCTCCGTGCCTCTCCGTCGCACTGTCTGAGTAGTTTAAGACGAATATTGCTGCACTTTGTATAATGCCTTGAGCCGCGGATCTTCTGAGAGGCGCTGGGCGAGTTGGGCGTATCTCTCACTGGACTGATCAATGTGTTTGGAGAGCCGCTCGTCGAGTGTCTTCATGCGCCAAGTGGCCTCTTTGCAGTATTGCGCAAATTCCTCCTCTTCTCGGCCCGCGTCGAGCCCTGCGGCGTCTAACTTACTCTGATACGCGGCCTGCCTTTCGTTAAAGTCTCTTTTCTCCGCGTCCATCTGCGATTGCATAATGTGACCGCGCTGAATGAGGCGCTCCTTCAGTTCCTGCAGGGCCTCGTCCCGCACCTTTCGTGCCTGGTCAATGCTAAGAGAGACATTCAAGTAGTCGCCATCAAAACTGCTCGGGAGTGCCAGCTTCGCAATGTATGGTGCAAGATAGTCCTTGCGTGACGCCTCGCGTGAGGCCTCCTCCGCAAGTTTGCGCGCCCGATCTGCCTCCGTCTCATGCGGCCGGTTGCGCAGCGTGTCAAAGACAGAAAGAACACTTCGCACCTCCGGCACACGTGCATCGCGCATTGCGCTGAGGATGCCATTACACTCCGCCATCATGCTGTACACCTTGCCAAGGCAGAAACTCTCCCACCATGCGAGGCGCTTCCTTTCATTGTACTGCTCCAGCTCAGAGGGTTCCTCGGCGTTCGGCATGAGTACAACGGTGGAGGGCAGGGCGGCTGGGGCGTTGCCGACGACTGTCGACGCCAAGTACTCCTCCCCACGTGGCCCTTTTGTGTACATACGGTAGGGGCGTATCATACTGTCGGGGCGGTAGTGGAAATACACCCACATCTCACCGCCGTTGCCGCCTGTAAACCGCACAAATGTATATTTTGCCACATCCTCGTCCGGCGGAATCGCTTCATTGCGATGATACTTTTCACTCATTCGCACAGGCTCCAATCTTTGCTTCTCGTCGTTGGGGCGATCGCAAAAGAGGCTGCCACGATTTCTTGAAACCCGCAAAACGGAGGTGATACGCTCAAAAGACGCACTACGGTACCACAGACGGTCGTCCCGCTGCCGGTAAAATTCCTTCACCTTACGTAACATGCATCCTTCGTAGAAAAACTCTTGGCGACGCCACAAACCGTCATCCCGCGCGTCCCAGTAGAAATTCATGGTGCGCTCCACTCCAGGCTCATGCGTGAAGAGGCGCAATCCCTCCACCGATGCCTCCCGCATTCTACCCCGCTCATACCACTCCTTCACCAAACGAAACGATGCTGCCTCACCAACGCGAGCGGTAGCATTCCCATAGAAGTTGCGCCCATCATCATCCATATCACCATCCTTCCCGGCGTTGTCCCCGTATTCCTCTCCCTTGGATGGGTAAACGGAACGGCGACGCAGCCTGTCGGCGCGGTGCTTAAAGAGCGTGTGAACCTGCTTTTGATGGCGATACGTCGTATCAGGGAGTCGTACTTCCATAACGCGGAGATCTGGCATCGCGTATGGCGCAAAACAACGTACCTCCGCATTAGCGTATTTTATAGACTTCTTGCCACCTGGATAGCGACCCTCGTACTGTTCACGGTTGAGGGTTAAGTCTTTTACCCACGAGATGAAGCCTCGCCGCGGCCCTTTATCCCGCGCAGAATGCGTGAGCACATTCACAGTGGCGGCGGCAGCTAATGAAGGAATACTGCCACTGATAGTGGCAGCGCCAACAAAGGTGGTAGAGGCTAAATTTTGTGTGCTTATATCCCCTCCATGCGTCCGCCACCGCACACCGGGAGTGGTGGTGTAATTAAATCGATCACCGGTACCACTTGTGGTTGTCTGCAGGTTCAGATCGCGTTCTTCCTCCGCATCCAGGTCAAACAGCATGCCTTCCCACTGTGTACCGTCATCCAGGTCAAGCGTCAGGGCGCTCACTGGAGCATTAGGGGCAAGATTTACCTGGTAGTTGCGTCTATTAAAAACGACCTCAATTCCAGTGTAGAAGGCGTCTGCCGTGTTGTGTGGGATCAAATCCCCAGTGGAGGGCTCAACAAAGAGAGCCTCCTTCTGACTTTTGCGACCACCCGGCAAGACAAGCAGCCAGCTGTGCAGATTTTTCTGGGGCATGTGTTGTTTTTGTTGTGGTTGTGGTTGTTGTTCTACTTCTTCTTGCTTCCCGTCATCGAACGGTTGGGAATCTGCGCTCCGCACCGACTTCGCTGTTTCCCCCTCATCACCCGCGATGCCCATTCCAATTCCTGTGGTGTTCGTGATTTGTTTTTCCCGCGGCGCAACCTCTTTTGGCTGCAAAGCGGCGGGCTCAGGATCATGGACGCCACGCAGCACTGGCCGGCCTGTCACAAGTTGAGCGTACTCCGCATCCAGCTCCGGCTCCACCTCCTGCTCATCATTGGACTCAACTTCATGAAAAAGGCCCTCACTGTCGTTCCACATGCGCTTTGAGGAGTCATTGTAGCAGACAAACCGCCGCGCGTAGCCAACGACCACGTATACATTGTACCCAGCGCCCGCCAGTACGGACGCAAGGAGAAGGCTCAGCTCAAAGCAGTTGCCCACTCGCCACTGCAGTGCTGTCGCTGGAGACACGACAACCTCCGGTAACTTCTCCAGGTCTTCCAGTGGCTCGTAACGCATGTACCCTGCAAAGTACCGCGCGCATGGCCCCAGATCAAACAACTCCTCAAAGGGGAAGACGGTCGGTTTAATAAAGGTGCATATCATTTTACGTGCATGGCACTCGTTCAATGGAGTAAGAAGCAATGGGGCACGGTCCGGGTAGTACTCATGGTACTCTGCCCTGAATAATTCCGTTGCCGCGAGCAACTCCTTTTCTCCCGCTGAAGTGGCTACTTGAGTGTACGACGGCGGGAAGGTCTCGGCTGGCAAAAACCTCTCAAAGCGCTCTGCCCGTGTTGCGTTGTATGCCGCTCCATCTCCTTCATGCATCGTGTTTTGTCTCTCTCTTTTTTTTTTTTCTTTTATTAATTATTTCTTCGATTGTTTCCCTTTTCATTAAAGAAAGAGAGAGAAAAAAAAAAAAAAAAAGAGAGGGAGAGAGAGAGAGAGACATTTTGCGTCTGTCTGTTTGTGTGTGTAGGAACAAAATGAAACATCGCCCGGCGTTGCAAAGCCAAATTTGCAGCCAAACAAAAAAAAAAAAAGAAGAAAAAAAGATGGGGAAGACAACAACGAAAATTTCAAGTAAAACCATTTTATTTTGTTGTTGTTGTTGTGTTATTCAAAAAACTTCAAACCCTCTTTTTTTTTTTTTCCTTCTTTCTTCCATTTGCCTCGCCCATCCATTCATTCATGCATTCATTCTTCCATCAGCGCAAAGATTCCGGCCGGGCAATGAGGACCGTCTCGTAGGTGCGGCGGCAGTACAAATCCCAGTAGAAGATCCCCCATGCCACGCTGGCAAGGCATACAAGAAAGCAGTAAATTGGCGTGATTGTCAGCAAATTGATTGTATGTGGCATTGCCAGCATGCCGTTAAGGTCCGTTGGTTGGAATGCCTCGTAATTCATGCAGGCAGCCTCGTTTCGGGCACCCACTTCGCCTCCCTTTGCACTCGTCTCATACATGTGTGTGGAACGCGAATGGGGCTGCATCGGCTGCATCTTGAATGCCTTGGGGTTATTCTCCTGCACGGCGGCAGTGCCCGTAGACGGTGGGCTCCGCAGCGTCGCGCATAACGCAAAGGCCCCGCTGCGCCCTGCCAGCCGAAAGAAACTGCGTTGCATCATGATGTCAATTCGACCGTATGTACTTTTTTCCTGTCTTTTCCTTCTTTTTTCTTATTTCCCCTCCCTTCCACCTCCTTTCTAATGGGTTGTCTTTTCCTCCTTGCGCAGTGAAAAAAAAAAAAAAAACTGAAAATCCCCCTTTCTTTCTACCTCTCTCTCTCTCTCTCTCTCTCTCTCTCTCTCTCTCTCCCTTCTTTTAAAATTATTTGTAATGTGCGTACGACAAATTCCTGTTCTTGAGCCTCACGCGGTGTAATCTACCATACAAATATACGCTCTGGTAAATAAAAATAAATAAATTCAACCATTCAACACGGAGAAGAGAAAAAGAAAAAAAAAAAAGTTGTATGGACGTCTATATAATATATATATATATATAGAGAGAGAGATGCATATGAATGTATGTATATTACAAAAAGAGCGCAGGGGTGTCATCCGGAGAGAAATTAACCGCTGACGCACACACACACACACACACAGACAGACAGAGAGACAGACGCAAAAATAAGGGGGAAAGAGAAAAGAGGCACCAATTTTCACGAAAAAAAAAAAAAAAGGGAACAACAACAAACAAACATAACAGTTACAACGGTACGAAACAGAGACGAGCCAACGTGTGCGTCCTGGAGGAGATGTACTCGGAGTTTATGTATGAATGAATGAACAGGTCGTATATGTCTCGCCCCAAGAAGAAATCGTGCGACATGGTGCCAACCAACCCACCACAAAGTAGCCTCGAAACTCTAATTGCCTGAAGTGGAAGAAGAAGAAGAAGCCAACGTGTTGCCGCTGCCAATACAGCCAATGCTGTTACTTCCCTTCCCGTCTGTGTATGCGTTGTTGATGGTGTTGAATATTGAAAGCGCCTGTGCCGAGAACTCTGCAGGGTCGCCAACGTTCTTCCCGAGCACCACCGTGTTTGTCGTCTTGGCGATTTCGCCGAACTTCTCAATGTACTTCTCCGCCACACGCAGGGCGACGGCGTCGCTGCTACGCGGCGTCTTCTCGAGTGACGCCGCGACTACCGTGACACTCTTCGAGATTGCGGCGGCCATGACTCCTGTGGCCTCCGCCTCGGCCTCCGCGCGCTGCAGAACAGTATACTTTTGGGCCTCCGCAGCGCAGCGCTGGGCTCTTTTAAGCCCCTCCGCACGGTTCACCTCCGCCTGTGCCTCGCCCTCGGACTGCAGAATGAGTTGCCGCTTGCGACGCTCCGCATCCGCCTGCAGATCCATCGAACGACGCACGAGCTCGCTGACGGTGATGTCCCGAATTTCGTATCGCTTGCACTCAATCCCCCAGTCGTGTGCCTCACGGCGCAGTACTTCCACGATGTTTTTATTGAGTAATGTCCGCTCGCGAAAGAGTGTGTCAAGGTCGAGACGGCCAATCTCACTGCGCATCGTCGTCTGTGCGAGGTTCAGCAGGTTGTACACGGGGTTCTCAATATTGTAGCTCGCCTTTTCCGCGTCGACGATGCGCAGAAAGAGGACGCCGTCTATCTCCACCATGACGTTGTCGGAGGTGATGGCTGATTGATTGGGGATCTCCACCCCCTGCTCCTTTACGCTGTAGCAGTAGCGGATCTTGTCCAGCACAGGCACAACAAACCACCAACCGGACTCTAAAGTACGGTGATACCGTCCAAGGCGCTCCACAACGTACTGACGGCCCTGTGGAACGATGTTGAGAATTGTGTTGCGTGGAACGCTCTCCACAAACGAGGCGGGGTTGAGGTGGATACGGTTGCCCCGCTGCATGAGATTCCCCCCGCCCATGTTGGGGCTCCCACCGCTGCCGCTGCTGCCGCTGTAGTTGTACCCCCCGCTGTTGTTGGCACCAGCGGTAGAGGCGGCGGAGACGGTGGAAGCGTCATACGGCCCACCCGCAGGGTTTGGCGGCGCGTACGGGTACGACAGCGGCGCGTTGTACTGCAGCAGGCGAAGAGAGCGGCGCAACATGTAGAGGATGAGAAAGAAGAGCGGGAGGAAGAGAAATATGGCTCCCCCGCAATAAAATCTAAATAAAAAAATAAAACTACACGGTCATGTACACACACAAAAAAAAAAAGAAAAAAAAAGAAATATTTATTTATTTATTTATTTATTTCTTCCAAAGAGAAGGGCACATGTGTCTTCGCTCCTCCTGTAACCGCCCCACAGACGCACACACACATATAACGTCATGACTTCCCCTCACAACCCACTCGAGAATTGATACCAACCCCAAGGAGATGTATATAATATATATATATACATATATATCCCACATAACCACGCCTCGCCTATAGGATCGGCCTATTGTCCATTGTCAGTCACAGCAGCAGCAGCAGCAGCAGCAGCAGAATCCGCTTTAGGTGCTATTTGTCCCTTTTCACCTACTCCGTCGCTGTCGTCACCGTCCAACGGCCTCTGTGGGTTCCGATAGGAACGCGCAAGAAACAACAACTCACGCAATCGGGTGATAGCAATACCACGTTCACGATCGTTGAGCACATGTTCATAGTGCAACGGATGCACGACGCTGCCCTCGCCCCCTTGAGCCTTTTTTTGCTTCACGACATCCACAATGGCGCCACTGGCAATTTCGCGCTCACGGGCTTCATGCAGCATGACAAGGTGATGCAACATCATGGAGCGGCCAATGGCATCCAGCATATAGTTTGGTGTGAGTCCCAGCTGCTCTCCGGGGTCGCGGGCGCGTTCTTCAGGGGTGTTAGGGGCAGGAATCGGCGGCATGCAGAGAAGACGCATAAAATGCTCCCAAAAGGCATCACTGACACAAAATCGATAATACTGTAGAGAAAGAGGAATGCATAAACTTTTCATTGGATCCTCCGTAAAGTCACCGTACATCTGCGCCCCCTGAGCACGTGAAACGGTCGCTGTGACTTCTTTGGAGAAAACAATATGCGTTGCGCACTCCAAAAAGTACGCAGTCTCCCCACACGCCTCAAAAACACGTTTCAACAACAATGGACGGTCATGCGCAAATGTCATTGCCTCAGGAAATGCCTCGTATTGCTGCAAAAGAGAGCGGTAGTACACAATCTCCATGTCATTCAGCGCAGCCCACGCGGCAGCAGACGTGTAAAGACGCTCCCGATCTTCCTGTGGTACCAACGCCGCTAGATTGAGGAGAGAACTCACTGCCCGCTCGTCTTCCCGCACGTTCACAAGTAACGCCGCGCGCCACAGATACAACGCCACGACCTCCCTACGCAAGGACGCATCCTCAAGAAGCGGGTTCACGCCCTCCGCCACACTCCCGCGGCCGTACTTTGGGGCGGCAGGGTTGAAGTCATCGACCCCCAACTGCTGTTCCTGCTGCTCCCTTTGACTTGGCTGCAGCGCTGCCAGCAACTCACGGCCGCCAGCTACCTCGCGTATCTGCGCGTTGACAAGCGCCTGAATGCCCTGAATAACGGCTTCAAGCTTCTCATCCCGCGCCATCTGCACCAACGCCCTAATCTGTGGTGTTGGCGCGTCGTCCACCTCGTACGCAAGACGCTCGGCGAGCACCTCTGCCCCTTTTGTCACAGGCCGCATCGCAAAGCAGCATGGGAAACGACAGCGATAGTCGTTTTCAACACAACGGCCGGCTCCTCCACAGCGGTACCGCAGATCAAAGACGGTACTCCGCACACTCGCTTCTCGATGCAGCGCCTCCGAAGAATTGGCGGCTGGTGATGGTGCACCTCCGTTTTCGGCACCAAAACGTCGTTCTTGTACGACTTGACGTAATCGAGCAACGCATGGGGCATCGGGACGCACGCGCACAAAATCCGAGCAGTCAACATCTGACCGCGGAAGCCGTTGCCTCTTCCATGAATTCACGACACGCGAGAAAAATGATTTCATCCCCACGCTTCTCTCTCTCTCTCTCTCTCTCTCACTTTCAGTATATATATATATATATATACGTGTAGAGGGTTTATGACCAAATGGTTACAGCGGCTTCCACCATGCACACAAAAAGAAACGACCCTGCAATTTGCCAACGGCCAGAAAGAATGGTTGCGGCTTCTCTCTCTCTTTTTTTTTTTTTCTTTTTTTCCTCTTTTAAATAAATGTCAATAAGATGCATATCAATGCAAAAGAGGGAAAAAAAAGAAATAAATGTAGAAATAAAGAGAAATGGTGCCTGTATGTGTGCATATATATATATATATATATATATATATATATATATATAGAGAGA